AAAGGGTTTTGTTCGTGTCGTGCATGTCGTGACAGTTAATTGGCAGAGATTTTCTTTAAAACTATTTTTCAAAACTTCATGCCTAGAAAATGTTTTAATTTAAATATGATTTTTTTTCTTTTGTCTACTGCGAATCATTAGATCTATCAGACAAAGTTCCAGAGATAACGAGACCATGAGCAAGGCGACTTCAACACAGATCAGTATTCCAAAACTAACATGTTTCTGTAGATGCAGGGTATAATAAGATCATCAAAGGAGCTACATTTATTAACCAACTGGTTCAGGAGAACATATCCGGCGAATATCAATTAGTGAGTGTAACATCTTCATTTGATCAATGAGGTATTTGACAGATTAAAGAATAGTATCTACCACTTAAGGTTGCGAGATACTGATGAAAATGATATTATGATAAAAAAAGTACTTATCATCATATCAAATATTGATGAAAGACGACGTTCATAGTCATTCATATCAAACTGCCGAGAGGGCCATCATATTCAAATTGCCGAGAGTGCCATTCATATTCAAACCGCCGAGAGGACCATTCATATTCAAACCGTTGAGAGGGCCATTCATATTCAAACCGCCGAGAGGGCCATTCATTTTTAAACCGCCGAGAGGACCATCATATTCAAATCACCGAGAGGGCCATTCATATTCAAACCGCCGAGAGGGACATTCATATTCAAACCGCCGAGAGGGCCATCATATTCAAACCACCAAGAGGGCCATTCATATTCAAACCACCGAGAGGGCCATTCATATTCAAACCGCCGAGAGGTCCATTCATATTCAAACCGCCGAGAGGGCCATTCATATTTAAACCGTCGAGAGGGCCATTCATATTCAAGCTGCCAAGAGGGCCATTGCATATTCAAACCATCAAGAGAACCACCAACATATTACATCAGTCTATTACTGCTTCGATATAAAAAAAAGAGTACATTGAAGAATTATATTGAAAATATGAGATACGAGCTTTATTTGCTTTACGTCAAACTGAAAGAAGCCGTCATTAAATATTCAAAAAGATCAATTAAGGGTGAAAATGGTAAAAAGGCACTCTCTCTCCATTTGAATTATATTTTACGCTAATGAGTTTTATCTCAGTTTTTGTCGAGAGCATCCAAGAGGATGAATTCTCAAACCAAACCACAGGTGCGGACATCATCAAAAGGGATGAAGCACAACGTGAACCTTTTCTTAGCAGCGAACTGGGACATAGTCCAAAGAGTAGTATCAAACTCTTAGGACGTGAGCTGAGGAGCGACTTCCACCACAATTAAACCACACCCCTATCAAAAGGCATGTGGGTATTTTCTTGGGTTTATCAGTTCGAATTTCGCATCTGGAAAACTTTCCACTCTCACTGGAGGCAGCTTTCCAATCTGAGTGACAATACACCAAGTGCTTTGGAAAATTATGTCCGTGTAAGTTCTTAATTATGGGTGTGACGTGCACCACATTCATGGCTAAGAGATTGCAAGCCTCCTTTCCATACTTGACTTACTTGTCACTCTTCCAGAAACAAAGGTTATCTAGCATAATAGATTTCCTTTTCAATCGATCGAGTCGAACTACAAACAGCCTGATTCCTAAGGTTTAAGGATATGTTTGGCGGGCTCAATGTTGAAAACTCGGCTGTATTCCGACATCCTCTCTCAAATCTTTTTTTCAAGCATTCCGATCTCTTCATAATTCGATATCGGGATAGCTTTTGAATTCTTTCATAATTGTGCGTCAAATCAAGCGTATCGAACTACAATTGGCCTGATTTCTCATATAGCCTAAAATATGTAGGAAACCTGATAACGAGGTTCGGCCATAAATCCTAAAGTCCATACCAAAATCTCTTTCCTAAAGATGAAGATGTAGTCGGTCAAAATTGGATTAGTCAATTTCATTTGCCTCGAATTTCTTTCATCAATCCAAGTCAAATGAGGGACAGTTGTTGACACCCAATTTTGGACCTCCACAATATGTATTAATCATCAAGCTTCTTCAATTTCAGACGATTTAAAATAATTAGTTTTATTAAAAATCAAATATTTTTCTAGTTATTTTCAAATAATTCTAGCCATTTTATAATTTCTAAATAATAAAAAATAGTTTTATATAATTATCTATATAATTAGTATATTTTATGAATATTCGAAAGTCATCTCAAAAAGATTTTATTTTGTTTAACTATTTTATCAAATTAGTTTAGTTAAGTTACGATTATATTTTTCAAATATTCTAGTTTATAAGTAAGTTAATTATTTTATTTTGTTAAAATTAAGAAGCTCGTTGATTAATTAATATTAATTTGTCTTATTTATTTATTTTTAGTCGAATTCACCAATTAAATTCAATTTGGCTAATTTATTAATTTTAATTGGCTATAGTTGCAATCTATGAGGCCAATTTGTCAATTCAAAATCTATTCCTGACCTTTAACCCATTTGAGATCAAGCTTTGGACCCTTTTCCTCACAATTTTTGGCCCAATTGCAATAACAATCAACCAGCCCAAGTTACCTTAATTCTAATTCCTCCAAACTGAACAGCAGCCCATACCCGCAAAAATAACGTACCAACAATACCCCACCCCTGTACCAGCGTATTCCTACAGCCAAGAACGTGACCAGACGCCAGACGAAATCCCTGCGAAAATTGCGGTGCACACCCAAAAATCTCGTCCAACTACCCTGCAGAACCCGTAACCCTAGCAACCTAATCGATCAAATCGTCCCATCCCCTTTTCCCCCTTTTCAGGGATTTTCAATCCTCTTCCACTGTTTTCCATTGAAAAGAGGGAAGGAATTCAAAGTTTTGAATTTCTCCAAAGGATTCGCCCCCTAAATCACCCCAACTTTCCCTATAAATCACCCCTACTCTTAGTGATGAGAGGGTTTTTTTTTTGGAGTCTGGTTCTTTGGAAAATACTCGTTTACATTCAAGAAATTTGAAAGCTATTTTCTAATCCTAAGTTTTGAGAAAAGTTTCATCTGAAGTTACTTCAAATTTCTTGGTTTGCTGCTCGAGTCGAAGTTGTGTGAGAAGTCGCTCTCCTCCGAGCTCGTCATTATCCCAGTAGCTGCCCGTATAAAGGTAATATTCCCCATTCCTGAATATATATTCATTCTTGAGATAATGCATTAGGCTCAGTTTGATTATGCTCATGAGATGTTTGTGCCGTTTTAGACATTATTCTTCGTAATCCCTGAAATAATCTCTCTGTTATTTGTGATGATATTTAACTTCAAGAATGAGAAAATGCCAACATTGTCTCTGTATTTGCTAATAACCAATTGTTATAGTCTAGGAATCTGACTCGTTTGTAAGCTTCCGGTGTTCAGCCATGCCTCTCTTCGTTTTATTTTGTTGTCGCCCCTTCATTTTCTTCTTAAATATCATTTACCTGTTCATATTATCTTGCTGGGAATGTCTAATTATGGTCTCTCTGTTGGCTCTCGAGAAGTTGTAATAGTATGCAACACCAAATAAGTCGTAAATGAATCAAGTAATCCTATTTGTTGTGATACATTACTAGTTGTACCTTTTGAATATCTTAAAAGAGTATCATGGATTTATAGTATATCTATTTACTCTTGAATTTTTACCTTGCCTGATTCATGTGATAAGCAGTTTTGCTTCATATACATGCTATCCTTGTCATTTGAGAGTTTAGGTGTAAATTAAAGCTTTTCGAGAACTTTTCGGTAGTCGTCTCTTTACAAATTTTCATGTGAACTATTTGGCTTTAATTAGCTCCCGCTTTGAACATCATCAAATTGTGTGATTGTCTACAATTATGTATAGAGTATGGTTAGTTACTTTTTCAGATTATGCGATTAAGAGCATTATTTGGAAACTCGGAATCATGAGATGTTTGGCCTAACTTGTGTTGGCTCTTGCAAAGTTGCTTCTAATTGAGTTTTAAAATGTTCGTCTCCTCATCTTTGTGACTGATTTAGCTTGAATAACATTCTCTATCTCTTTAGTTGCATTATACCCATGTTGTTGGATTGATGCCTAAAAAATAAAAATAGTAATAATAAAATGTGTCTACTTACTAAAGTTGCTCATATATATATTTTTTACTCATGTTTTGAAGATGTCTAAATTTTATCACAAGTTCCTAGAGTTATCTTGTTGTTCATGTTCTTTAGTTAAATACTCCCTCAAGTCCCAATCTGCTT